GGGAAGGAAGCTGCCCATCATGGGAAGGACCCTGTCGGGAAGGTTTAAAACTTTGAACTAGAATTCAGAGCCGTGGGGATGGAAGACAACCTCATCTGGGAATCCGGGAACCAGAGATTCCAGGGTTCTCAGGGCATCCCTTACGAGAGGCAGCTCTCTTAATTTTTTTTTTAATATTATAGACATCTGAGACACATTTCATTTAAATGAAGACTTCATAATTTAAAGTAAAGCTTAAACTGGGTACAGTGGGTGTCACGTGCCTATAATTCCAGCATTTGGGAGGCTGAAGCCAGAAGATGATAAATTTGAGCCCCACCAGGTGATTTAGTAAGACTCTAATCTCAGAATTTTAAAAAAGGGCTTGGATATAGCTCAGTAGTAGTAGAGTGCTGCTGGGTCTGAGATCCGGTACCTACCTCTGTGCCCCAGAAATACAAAGACGCTTTGAATCCATTAATTTAGGCTAGTGGCTAGGTATGAGATTGTGGTTTTGACATATCATTGCCTTCCCCACAAAAAGGAACAGAGCATCTTAGAGAAATAGCTGATTTGAGGTTTGGACTAGCAGAAGTACAAGGTTAACCTGAAATAGCTTGTGACTGGAAGTAAGGAAGAGCCCATGTCACAAGAACACTGGGCTAAACAGAAGGGGCTAATAACGAACAAACTAGGGAAAATCTGAGCATCAGAAGAGCAATGACTGTGGACGACTAGAAAACAATTATTATTGGCAAGGACAAACAGTTATTTTATTGTCTTTTTAGGATTTTTTTTTTTTTTGAGACAGCCTCTAATGTAGTTCAGACTGGCCTTAAACTCACTATCTGGCCTAGTCTATCCTTAAACCTTCTAGACTGTTCTGTTTGACTTCCTGAATGCTGGGATTGTAGGCCTGCCACACCACACCCAGTTTGGAAAGCTTTTCTTTATGTAAGAAAGCCTGCTAATAAAGAAGCTAAAATAGAAATTAGAAAGTCAGGGCTGGGTGTGGGCAGGAGGATCCTTTTGAGTTCGAGATCAGCTGGAAGGCCAGCCTGAACTGCATAGTGAGACCCCGTCTAAAAAATAGACCCCTTCCCTCCCTAAATAGAAAATATAAAGAAATTAGAAAGTCGCTATTGCCAATCCCAAATGTAATTACTGAGCAGAGAAAGGATCATCAATGGATGCTAAAGCCATGAAGTGAAATTTTGTTGTGAAACAGGATATTCTCATATACCAAAGTTTCCAGAGAAAGTTGCAAAGTGGGGGGAAAGTGTACCTTTATAATGGAGCGATCTATAGCTTAGCACCAGCAGTGGCATAATAAACTCTCTTTTAAAAAGTTTAAAATGGAGTCAACTCAAGTCTAGATCTATTTTTCAACTTAAAAGAAACTTGGGCTACAAGTACAAGTAAAATAGTATAATTAGAAAACAATCAGTGCCGCCCGCCGGAGCGCACAGCACGCTGCGCGCCCACAGCTCTGCTCCAGGGTCCCGTGCCCGCTCCCGCTGTGGCCACCGTGCAGCAGCTGGTAGGGACATGGCGTCTGGTGGACAGCAACGGCTTTGATGAATACATGAAGGAGTTAGGAGTGGGAGTAGCTATGCGAAAAATGGGCGCAACGGCTAAGCCAGATTGTGTCATCACTTGTGACGGCAACCACCTCACCATTAAGACCGAGAGCACCCTAAAGACAACACAGTTTTCTTGTAATCTGGGAGAGACGTTTGAAGAGACTACACCTGATGGCTGAAAAACTCAGATCGTCTGCGCTTTTAAAGATGGTGCGCTGGTTCAGCACCAGGAGTGGGATGGGAAGGAGAGCACCATAACGAGAAGGTTGCAAGATGGGAAGCTGGTTGTGGATTGTGTCATGAACAATGTCACCTGTACCCGGGGCCAAGAGAAAGTAGAATCCCATCATCACTCGGACAGGAATTAGCTTCGAGAATGAATAAGCTCAGTTCAATGAGCAAATCTCCATGCTTTTTTTGGTCATTATTTTGATAAATTACCTTTATCACAAGCATTTCACATACAACTATTGCAAAGTGTTGATTTCATCAGGATCATCTCTTTGGTTAGTAAATAAATAAATGTGTTCATGCTAAAAAGGAAAAGAAAAGAAAACAATCAGACAAATTCAAAATCTGAGACACTCAAAAACAAACTAGGTTAGTTTTTTTTTTCTAACATTTAATGTCATGAAGAAAAATAAAAGGGATTTTGTTTTAGATTAGAAAGAGGTTAAAGATTCATGAGGACAATATGCCAATTAAGAATAAGATGTGACCCTTGATTGCATATTTTTTGAAGAAAGTAGCTATAACAGATAATTTGAATGTTGACTAGATATTAGGAAGTCACTCTTTCTTTGATTTTGAAACAGGGTCTGTATAGGCCAGGCTAGCCCTGATCTTGCAATCCTTCCCACTTCAGCCTCCCAAATTCTGGGATTACAGGCAAGGAAACCATTGTTAATTTTTTTTTTCTTTTTAAGGAATAATAGCATTGTAGTTATGACCTTACACCTGAGAGGTGCGTGCCAGTGCATTTCAGGGTGAAGGATTGGTGGTGTTTGTAATATAGTTTCATACAGCTCAGTGAGAGAATCCTCCTGAATTTTAAGCCCACATATCAACATATACATGTACAATAGAATAACGTTTTGCTGAGTTGGACATATGGTTTGTTCATTGTACTATATTTCAACTTTTTCTTTCTTTCTTTTTTTCTTTTTTTGGCAGAACCAAGGACTGAACTCAGGCTCTTGTGCTTGCCAGGGAAGCGCTTATTCCACTGAGCTATCTCCCCGGCCCCAAACTCAACTTTTTCATGTGTTTGACATTTTTTAAAAATAGAAAATTAGGGTTGGGGACACTATAAAAACTCTGGGTGACACTTGTATTTTTGAAGAGATCATGGGTGATTTTCATGCAGAATCAGGGATAAGAACCATTGACCTAATATGTCCATATTGAGAACAAATTTGAGTCCTAAACTGTTAAAAGTGACTTTCTAAGGGATACAGTCTATAATTCATGCTCTTTGACTTTTGGCTTTATATTGTTTCCCTTTAAATCCTCTAAAGGAATTTATCAGATAAGAAGCCTTATCCTTTGAACACATGGAACTTTTCTCTACAGAAGATGAACTGCACAAGAAAAGTGTGATAGATAAGGAAGGATTTAGGTACCATAAGGGACTCAGTTGTTTTATTGGAAATGAGTATGAAGAATTCTTAGGGACAGGAAAAGAACCTAAGGTTCTGAAGGGCAAGTCTAAAATTTTTAGAAAGCCTGCCCAGGCTGCCTGCCAAGACCAAGCTGACGTGTCTGGCAGGCCTGATAAGAGAACACATCTCTCTTTGTGTAAACCTGTCTTTGCTGCCTTTGCAGTTGATGATCTTGTAACTTCAAATACAACAGGACACTTCTGCCTTTGTAGAACTCACACCTGTTTTAACTAAGGGCCTTGTAATGTAACCGAGATGTGTAAACTCCTTCAGCAACCCATGATGTCACTGAGCCTTCCAAGCATATGCCAAATCTGCCTATGTACCTCCCTGCTCACTTTCCCTTTAAAAGTTTGAAACCCTCTGGGACAGGGCTGACTTTTGGAGAAATCCTAGTCAGAAGCCCACCAGTATAATAAACTGCCTCCTAAACTTTCCTGGTGCTGTTTCTTCCCATGTTTGGCCTGTTTTTTGCAACAGTTCTAAGGGCAAAGACAGCCCTAACTTAAAAACTTGAATTGTATTAGAGAGCTGTATTTTCTTTTCTTTTTTATGCAGTGCTAGGGCTCAACCAAGGACCTCTTGCATACTAGGCAAGCCTTCTATTACTGAGCTACATCCCCTGCCTCTGAATTTTCTTTCTTTTTTGTAGTACTGGGAATCATACTCAGGAACTCATGCTTGCCAGGTAGGCGCTTGGGTCACTAAGCTATATCCCCAGCCCCTGAATTTTCTAAATAATTTTATTGCTTTCAGGGAATGTAATCTATGGGATAGAATTTTGCCAGGCATGGTGGTGCACATCTGTAATCCCAGCACTCTGGAAGCTGAGGCAGGAAGATTTCTGTGAGTTTAAAAGCAGGGTGGGCTACATAGTGAGTTCAGGGCCAGCCTCAAGTACATAGTGAGATCCTGTCTCAAAAAAACAAAACTAAAAAAGAATTTTATGTTCTGTCTGCAAAAATACACAGATTAAAAGACCAGATTAGATAAAACAATCCCAAAGTCCTGATTACTTGTTGGGAAATTAGGTTATAGATTACCTCCTGATGTTGGAGCAGTCCAGGTTCCTTGCAGAGACATGAAGAATTAGTGTTAGCATAGTGGGAGGTTCCAATGCCTAGTGAGAAATACATTAGTCTTTGGAGTCAGGCAAGACCTGGTTTAAATTCTGATGCTGCCACTCACTAGTTGCGTACCATTAGGCAAATTATGTGCGTGGTGCCAATCACAGTAATTCAGCTCCTATTTTTGCTCACTGCCATGGAAGGTGTGTTTGAATGCAGCAGATGAGGAGATACGGTAGATAGTTAAGGCAGGGTTCCTTTACCAGGTAGAGAGGGAGCTGGATTAGAGGAGTCTTTCTAACAAGAGGCAACATTTTCAGGAATGTATGCAAGCACTGGTAGATTGAAGCAATCAAATTACAACATACAGTTCCTGAGGCTTTAAAGTTGTGATTATGAGATACATAATTCTCGCCCAGATAGCGCGGCTGCATACACAACTAAAAACTACACTGGCGGGGGCGTGGCTCCGGGCAACACCGGAAGTTCTCTTCCAGAACCCCTCCTTGCCCCGGAAGTAGTTGTTTCTGGCGGGTCATCGAGATTCCCGGGTTCGGTAATCATGTTCCTCTCCGCGGTCTCCCGTAAGTGGGGCAGGAGGCGGCGGGCTGCGGAGAGGGCAGTGCCCTCGATACACCTGGGAATGTGCGAGGTGGGGGACACCACGGCCACGAGGCTGCCACCCGCGGAGCCCTTGACGGCGCGCGCGGCCGAGCTAGTTCGTGTTCTCGTGCGGTTCGCCGGACGTTGAGGTGTGGGCGCTTTTTTCTGCCCTCGGTAGGGACAAGTTAGAAGAAGCACATTGCACATCCCAAATGGGAAGACCTCAGAATTTCTAGGCCACCCACTTGGAACTGTGGAGATGAAGAGAAATGCCGGTGAGAGGGGCAGTGTGTTGCCCGAGGGGACGCAGCGCGGGCAGTGGAGTCGTCAGGCCTTCGGGTGGGCGCTGTGTCCTGGTGCACCTGGCTGACTTCCTGCGTGGAGTTAGTTTCTCTTCTGCACCTCATGCGATAGTTGTTGCAGTTTGCAAAGATTGGCTTGTTAAACCAGAGAGGCGTGTTCCAGTGCAAATAGTTGCTTGGACCTTAAGAGGAGAAATCGAACAAATATGACACTTTGAAGATTTGGAAGTAGTCCAACTGAAGTGATTGCGCAGAAGCACTACGTTAAAAATTGGTCTGGTTTAGTCTTTGTTATCTTCTTTTGAACACGATGATAGAATAAAGAATAGTTGTAGGTAGGAAATGGCCCTCTAACTCCCGCCCTTACAGGGGTTTAAATCCAGGGAATCCCTACAGCTAGGCAGGCATTGTAGCGCCGAGCTACATCCTCAGCCTTGGGAATACAGCGTGGTGTATACTTGAATGACAGTTTACCTTAGACTATGAGTTGAATGATTTTTGACAAATGATTTTGGTTACTGATGTTTATATGAACTTTGCATAAGAATGCTACTAAATTAATATTTTTATTCTTTTTCTTTACACAAAAAGTTGCCAAGAGCAAGTCAAAGTAAGTACAAATTTTTAATTTGAACTTTGCTTGTTTATGTTAATTTGTTAGTTCAACTGCTGCCAACATGCCCTTGTATCTTTTAAGCATTTGGCCTTTATTTTGTAAAAATTGGTTTGGGAGTTACTTGATTATTTTGTCCTCATGATTGCTTTCAAAAATACAGATGCTCATTTTATGATGGGGTTAACACAGATAATCCCATCATAAATTGTAAATATAAACTACAAATTATAAAACTAAGAGAATGTCATAGCTTAGCAACGCAATACTCTCTAGGACCTATAGTGTAGGTCAGTGGTGGTGAATCTATGGTATGCGTGCCGCAGCAGGGAGTTTGTTGTCACTGAGAACTCTGGAAGGTTTACTATCACTGATGAAGGTTATTGGTTGCTTTTCATTGTGATCTTAGGGCTGACTGAGAGCCCTCGCAGCTAGCTGCTGCCAGACATCATCAGAGAATTACCACTTGCTATGAGCCTGGGAAAACTGATCAAAGTTTCAAGTCCAGCTTCTACTGAATACTTTCATACCTTGATAAAACCAAAAAATCATAGATCCAAATGCTTCAGTGAGCATTTGAAAGCTTTGATTAGCTATAGAACTCTTGTGTCTTTTCTAGTCCCAGATAGGTAAATTGACCATCTTATTTCCAAACCAAGCCTGGGCCTGTGCTTTGTTTTGATTGTCACCATGTTACTTTTTCTTCATACTGAGGGCCAGGTGTCATTTGAGAGTCCACTGTAGGAATC